TAATCAAAATAGAGTAAGAAGAGCCGCGTCGAATGGCGCAAAAACGAACTTTCCAGCTCCTATAGTTTTCGAGAAAAATGCAAATTACTGTGTCAAAAATGTCATAGCGTTACCTTTGGACAAGCCGAATTGTATATTTTTTTACCATTGTCTGGAAAATGAATGTCTGTTGCTAAACGACGACTCTGTTCATTTTTATAAGTTATGATAAAATTCAATTTTGTAGCTGATGTTTTAAACTGCTCATATTTCTATTTCGGAAAGAAGTTAGAACTACGATTATACTCTGCCAGTCTGTTCAGCCTGTCTGTGACTGTTTTTAAACAAGAGAATTTGACTATAGCAGCTTGTATACCACACTCTTTCGAAAGTACACTATACAGTTTATTATTTTCACCCTACGGATATTTAACTTTTCTACATCATGATGTGATGTCATTGTTTGCAACTTGTTTCTTTTCTTCGTATATAAGTGTAGTTTACAAAGAATTTGCTAAAATAGCAATCAGGCGAAGAAAAAAAAGAGACGAAATCCAGTATTTTGAGTATGGTGCTAATCCAAAGCTTACCTTCTCATTTTTCACATTCTCTCAGCTAAAGTAGAGTGCCAACGAAATTTTCAGAGTGGTATGACAGGTATCATCCGATATTATGACAAGCATTGTCGTCGTAGCCTACTTTCACTCTGATCTACGATGTAGACTAGTAACATTACGCACATATGGTTCCAATAAATGATAAACAATGATCGCTATCTGATTTAGAAATATATATCTTTGTAAAATTACTGTTTACTGTTCAGCAATGAATTTTTACTTTCGAATGGTGTACAGTCCTCGAATTGTGCTGTTTGAAGGATATCAAAATAACGTCGTAGTTTAATCGTAGAAATAGTGCATATGCTGAAAGAAATGATCTATTACAAAGATGGTCTTTTACATATCTACGACTTTTGTGTAAAACCAGCAATCAAGAATAAATGACATCCACATTTAGGTTCATTGTATGATAAAAAATTTTCTGTTCTATCTCCATCTTTTGTGGAAAAAATGGTGTCTCAAACATGTTTTCGCATTATAATCCCGAATTTTGTATTCACTGTGAAAGTTACAGTACTGCGACAAGAATCATTTTTTCCTTGTAACGTGCATTATTTGTTGAAAGTTAATTTAATTATAAATGGAATTATTGTTCGTAAAAGTGAACAGAAAAATGTTGTTTAACAGTGATGTACAGCAGCAAACAAATCGCATACACTTAAGAAGTAAAGCAAACATGAAATGTTTTCAATTAGCAGACAACTGTCAATGTTATTCAGTTTAACTCAAAGGCGTATGTGTAGTTGATAGATTCAATACAATCAACTGAAAGATGCCGACAAGTACCGAAAATGTGTATGTGTTTGTGCCTAGAAGCCAGTTTCCACTTCATGTACGTGTGAAACATATCAAATCACATAGCAAGTATTCAATTTTGTTATCCTAGGGTACTCCGCCGCCGTCCGTTGTTAAACTAGATTTGAGTCAAGTAACATCCGTAAACGCCAGAACGTACGTCTCAGTATTTCTGTATAGATCGGGCGCGTTTTTTGACTGATGATTGTTTATCAATTTAGAGCTGGTCTCTCGAGTATTGCTAAAGCTGCCATTGGTGTTTGTGTCGTGGCATTTGTTGCCGCCCTTGCCGCTAGTGCTTATGTTATAGTACGAACAGTTACTGGTACGAAAGTATGAAATTAGATCTATCGTTATTTTTGTGAGGGGTCTACTTATTCTATTTGTCTGTATCCTATTATATACGACACCTTAGTTAATATTTGATGCAGTTTCCACAAAATGGTAGTGTTTTTGTTGATATAATAATTACTTAGTTTCCTTTCATTTTGTTCTATCCATTACAAATCAGTTTACTCCTATTAAGCTAGAAGATAAGATAAAACTTCTATTCTCATGTTTTTTCTTATTAGTTTATTCACTCGGCATGCATCGAGCCCCGCTCCCATTCGACATACTCGGACTTAATTGCTAGATACTATCCGATACTTTACGTAACTCAGTAAATCTGTTGCTACATTTTAAAATCCATAAAGAGGAAAAAACTAATGATCTCTATCTGATCGGGGAGTTTTTCTTGCTGCAAGAATACTGTGTCAGTTGGTCGCTGAGAAATACTTCTAGCCTTTGAATTTTTTTGAATGAAACTTACTTTTAAAAGTTATTGACGTGCGTTCATGCAAAAACTTGTGTAGGTATGCAGAAAGCCACCAAATGGTTTGCTGTTTTTATTTCAGAATTTTAGAATTTTGTTCTATTTGGTTATCCTTATGAAAGACTCTTTTCGATTATATTTCCCAGACTTTTTCAGGTGTGAGAAGTACGTGCATTGGGATTAACTTAGTGACGGAGGTCCTGAAAATAATATCGAAAGTAATTTTCAACTCTGATTGCGAATATAACATTAATGGGAAGGATATCAACATATCTTGGAACTTGGGGCGACAGATGTCTTGTTACCCTTTTTTGCTAGGAAAAAATCTAACCGACCGGCCTTTCGACTCCATGTCGGTTCGTTTTTACCTATTTTAAATGTGGGCCTTCGTGATTAATATAGAGACCGTGTAGTCGAGTGTCAAGTTTGAGTAGTAACCGAGTGCGATAGTCGGGCTCGGATCGTGTCTAATCGAATCGCCGTTGTTTGTGTCTGATCTCCTAGCCACTATTTGGGTTTGGGAAAGATGATCAGTTAGCTTTGTAAATGTACAACAATTCTTATTATTATTACGATCTTTCGCATTCCCTGGTATAGTTCTATATAGGAATAAGACACTAAGGTCGTAAAACTGCACAAAACTCTTTCTTAGGGACTGTAGGATAAACTAGGATCAAATTGTAGAGTGGCAAGTTTGAAACTTCGACTTATTGTATCTGATTCTAGACTAGAGAATTATGACTTTTACTAAATTCTTAGTTTCAATTGAAATTGGATACTTGCCACGCAGCGACCTAGTAGAAATCAATAATCTAATGAATATCCTTAAGTGTCTAATCGCTTTTTTAATTAGAGTTATGCGGTTTTAAGTGATGGATGATGTTGATTCGGATATGAACACGAACATGAAGTAAGTAGATAAATGTGTTTGACTGCTGTACTCTTTCTGACAAAGTTTTACCAAAATACAGTTTTGCTGTTACGTAACGCAATCTTAATTTGGATAAAACTTTGTCAGCAGACAAAAACATTTATCCACGTACTTCATACTCATGGCCATATTCCGAATCAATGTCATCCGTCGCTTAACACCGAATAACTTTAACCAAAAAAAGCAGTTTGGTACTTGCGGACATTATATTGTCAGTTTTACGTCTCATCATCTGTGCAAAATTTAAGCCTGGAACCACCATATTCAATCACGTTTTTAGGAGTGAAGCAAAATGCGTATTGAGTACTATTTCCTCAAAAACATTGCAAATAGATGCAGTTTATAGAAGCATGTGGTACTAAAATAAAACAGAAGAATGCTTAACAATCTTCTGTGGAGTAGCAAAGTCAAATGGTTCATTGGAATGGAAAATTGTATAGATGGAATATATATTTCAGAGTTGAAACTTTGAATATTTAAATTACAAATGCCGCACAAAATCGAATCGAAAATATGACTTGTTAACCGAGAAGTACCCAAGCGTCAAAAAAAAATCTAGTATCGCCCAATTCAGCTAGATTACTAGATTTTTACTCGATTGCAACTACTGTGTAACGACAATGGAAATCGAGTAATCGGGCGATTACTAGATTTTTTCAAGATGCAACTATCGATTTATCGCCCGATAATCGATCGATTTAAGTATTACTAGATGCACCTGCAGACGCATCTAGTTAAAAGTCCCTTTTCCAACTAGTAATCTAGATGG